ATTGAGGTTGTGCACTATTGCTGTCACCACAGCTCGTATAAGTCCCACTGAGTGGCATATGAAATTTGTCTCGAAGGACCTGTGAATATGTCCCGAAGGACCTATGAGTTGTCCCGAATGACCTATGAAACCCTCGACTCTTGGCATGCCAACTATACCTATAGCTCTCATATCGTATACTATGGGCATCATTCTTATATTTCATATGTTCATGTGCTCATGTCACTTATCATATCACATATACATTTGAATTTATTCACATATATCATGTAACACCCCCACCCGTACCCGACCTGGATTCGAGTCCGAGGTGTCACATTGACTTTTTCAAAACATTTACATGTATAAAATAGTGAGTAATTTAAAACTTTTATATATATAGCTTATTCAAAAGATTTCCAGAACTATTCAGAGCTTAAATGTTTTTGCAAAACCGTTAAGTGCATATACAATTCAGACATTTATTTACATGCCAACCATTTTCAATGTACAGAATACATCTAATTCAAAACAGCTTTTCTGATCTGATCTTCGGTAAGAAGTAACTGACCTGTCTTGCTCCATATTGCTCTTTACTCTTCTCGAAACCTACGTGTGAAACAATCACACGCTAAGTCGTTGACTTAGTGAGGCATATAAACATATAATAAAAACCATCGAACATTTCATATAACAAAACACATACCTGTACAAATACTATCATTATCATTAACATATCTATCATATAATATCATACATTTTTCCAATCAATACCTATTTCATCCGATGAATATGTATTCTAAACATTTGATCATGACATTTCAATATGCATGTATCTATTACACGATAACATATATAATCATATCATGCACATACGAAACTTAACTTCTTGTACCACTTTCACTTTAAAGTTTGTATTTCAATTGCCCATGTATATTATTGAGAATAGAGGTATGTGAGTACATTGAGGTTGTGCACTAATGCTGTCACCACAGCTCGTATCAATTCCCTCATGGGGCACCGAACCTTAGTTCAGTATTCGTCCCGTAGGACCACTATGTCCCGAAGGACCACTGTATATGTCCCGTAGGGCCACTATGTCCCGAAGGACTACTCCTTAAGAACCACATACATAATATAATGGCTCCAATAAGTGTACCGAAGTACTACATATAGGTTCCACATAATTACATACATGTCCCGAAGGACCACGTAGAACCCTCGACTCTTGGCATGCCAACTATACCTATAGCTCTCATATCATATACTATGGGCATTATTCTTATGTTTCATATCACTTGTTCCTTTTCTTCTGTCACATACCATATGTATGTGTGAACATACATCTCATATCATATAACCTTTATCTCAAGTGCATGTAATCAAGTATTACATGTAATCACGTAGATCATTTCATATGGATTATATCATTTCTCATTTTTCATGTAAACACACATGTCATATCTTATTCACATATGTTCATATATACATCATATATCACATAGAATAACATATAAACTTATACATATATTCATGTACATACTTTCATATAGTTCGTATATCAATGCCCTATAACTTATCTCACATTATTTATATCCTAGTTTCATATATTTACTTAATTCAATTTCACATAACTTGTTACCTATATATATTCTTATAACTTATCATCACATAACTCCCATAACATCTTCCAATAGCTTCATAGATCTTTACTATATGACTCATATATTATATGTTCATTTAAGCCCATAACTCTTCCCATATAGCTTATCTTACATGTTCATATAATCACTTCTGTCAATGTCTCCTAATTTATATATTATTTTCATATTGTCCTATAGGTCAATGTTATTTAACTTGTCTCACTTTTCATTTCATCTCATAAGTTGGTTATACTAATTCTCATATATTTAACTCGTGTAATTTATATCTTGTTATTATATCCTCAACTAGACCTATATCCACATGTTCATAATCACATAACTTATATTCTTTTTCATATAATCACATATGTCTATGTCGTTTAACTTATCATTTATATCTATATCATCTATTTTATATCATTTTCTCTTGCTATCACATAAGTCCTTGCTATTTTTACATAGTTCGCGATCCTATAGTCAATTATAATAGCATATGTTTATCTTATCTAATATCATATAGTTCTTTACTTATGTCTTATATCACATATTTATATTATAAACTTATATAATCACATATACTATTTAAACCAGTTCACATAGCTTATCACACTAACATATATTCATTCAATTCATGTAACATATGCAATACATATAACATATGTACCCATTTTCATGCACTCATGCAAACATAAGAATCACAATTCAAATAACATTTTTAGGAGTCCCTTCTTACCATAGTGACTCCATCACTGGCTCATCGCAAGCCAATGTTTATTTGGTACATAAGTACAATTTAAATTGCACTCACCTGGGCCTCGTTGTTTTGAATCAATCCTAATCCTTAGTTTGTTCCGGAACAAGCTTTCATTCTATATCTACATAATAATACATTAATACTTATCAGTATACTGATTGATATATTCGAAACTATCACTCCTTAGGCTCAGAGAAAAGCCAATTTCATCTTTTAATGAAGGTATGCATCGATGCACTACTGATGCATCGGTGCATAAAATGCATTCGATGTTGTATTATTATAGGGATGCATCGATGCATGACTTATGCATCGATGCACTAATTGCATTCGATGTTTCTATTTTAAAAGAGTGCATTGATGCATTACCAATGCATCGATACACCTTCAAACAATTTCTGGGTTTTAACCTTGATGCATCGATGCACTATGAATGTGCATCGATGCACTCTGCCCAGAATCCTCTTTTATGCCCGAAAATCCACTCTTTTCAGCTTAATACTTCATATATCATCTCCTTTCTTATTTTTAACTTACATACTCATATTCAAACTCATTCATATTCATTAATCACCTCTTTAACATCAAAATCCTATTCTCCATATGTAATTCAAGAATTACACTAAATTTTCAACATGTTCCAAATTTAATTCTATTGCTTCTAGCTTCTTAATTATACCCTTGACAAGTCAAATCCATCTTTAGAACTTCAAAAACCTTTCTATAACAAAATTTCATTTCTACACCCTTCATATCATTTCCTTTCTAATTCTCTATTCTTGATGTTTAAAGCTTATATAAGCTTTCCTTAAGCTTATATAATACTCCAAGAATCAAAATCAACTTATAAATCCAAGAATTAAACAGCTGAAATTAAACTCACCTTTAAATGAGGCTTACGGGGAGAAGAAGAAGCTGGAGAAGAAGACTCTGGATAATTCTCTCCTTTCCCACGTGGTTTCCTTAAAAAGGGAAAATAAAAATCTTCTCTTAGAAAAGACCATAACACCCTTGTTATTTTCCAGCTTTACTACTAAATCCATGAACTTTTAATTTATTTCGAAATCAAGCATATAGTTTTCAAAATTTGCAATTTAGTCACTGACCCTGAATTTCGGGATGTTACATATCATTTATCAAATCATATGAGCATATATACCTTATGCATGTATCATAATAATTATCATGTATGCATGTTCATAACTATTGTTCTATAAAAATCAACATAGGATTAGACTTATCACAAGTCTTATTCCATTATACTACCCTTAAAATAGGCACTCACCTTGGCCTCGCTTTCGTTGTTTCAATCCTAACTCTTCGATTGTTCCGGAATAGAATTACGTTTTATAACTACATAAACACAATTTTCAATATATTTATCAGAAGCCTAACCCTTGTAATTTGATACTAACAACTTAAACTGATTTAATAAACCGAACTTCAACATTTTCTTTTAGGGGGAATCGATTCCCCCAGGGGGTATCGGTTCCCTCTGCATAATCTGAAATTTCACTGTTCAAACCCGAAGATCATCAACTCTTCACTAAATTTCTCAGACAAGGTTCCTTTCATACCACCAAACTTAACTACAACCATTTTAATTAACTTCTATCAATTCCAATACTTTAAAATCTCCCATGCTTCATTCAAATTCTCAAAGCTAAAAATCATACCCAATTTTCAACATGTTTTAAATCGAATTCTAACACTCCATATTCCTTAATTAACTTCTTGACAAGTCAAAAATCTTATTCTAACTTCAAAAACTCATCCATATCAAAATTTCATCCAAAACCCCATTTTCCAAATCTATCTCTAAAACACTTATCTTGTTGTCTTAATGTCATATAAGCTTTCTTTTAGCTTATATAACATCCAAACTTCAATTTCCAAGCTAAAAAACAAAGAAACGACCAAGGTTCTGATTCTTACCTTAAGCTGGGGTCTTCACGTTTGGAATAAGAGAAGAGTGAAGAAGATAAGAAAGAAGGAAGAAGAGATGAGAGAAATCTGGAAACATTTGTTTCCTACTCAAGCCCCACGTGGGTTATAATATAATCCCATCAAAATTCTTAATTATAAATTTTCCTTGCAAATGACCAGTTTGTCCTTTAATTCATTTCATATTTACTAACAATTATTTTTAAACTATTTAATTATTCTACTTTAATCACCAAATTCTGATTTTTTACAATTTAATCACTAACCCGTTATTGGGGATGTTAGTAAACCTTTTGATGATTTGATGATGATTTGTGATCATCTATCATCATCATGGATAACGTAGAAAGAGGAAGGACAGATAAAAAGGAAGAGATGCCTTCCAGTTTCAACTATTATTCTCCCTATGCTCTGCATGCAAGCTGTTTATTTATTTGAGTTGTCGTTTTCAAGGTCCAAGCACCAACGCCCTAGATATTGGGGGGGGTGAAAATGGGTTCCAAAATCAAGTTTTTCATCATAAATTTGAGGAGACAATTCACTGCCAATTTTCTTTGCCGCAGAATGGTAGGATTTGGATTTCTCATTCTGTCAAATTATAGTTAAAGTGGATTCCATTTTTATTTCCATCATGGGACACATTATTGTAAAGGGAAGGTGGAAGAGAACACTGGAAATACAAAGCAGAGAGCATCCTCCATTTTTATACGAACTTTGTTTCTTTTTTAGGAATTGCATTACAAACTCCCTAAGTTAAATAGGAAAAAAAAGACAGAGAAAGACTCAAAGTGGATGTCCATTGCGTGTATAATCTGGTTTGTGAACTTCCATTTAAGCTCTCTGTCGACAATCTTAAAGTAACAAGGATGACCAGTGTGCTCAAATGACACGATGACAATGTTCAGGGCCTATGAGTGTGGTTGAAAGGGTGTTGTAGAGGAGCAGCCGCGGTGGCGTTAAGGCCGTGGTTGGGCGGTGGCGGTGAGGCGGCCAATGCCGTTGGTGGACATTGGTAACACTTTGTGAACAGCCCAAATGTGTCAATCTGGTGTATGAAATTCGTCATGCTCGCCCATCCACCGAATCCAAACCCGACGATCAAAACCCAAACCACAACGAACACGTTTATCGTGTATGTTCCTACCCATCTTCCAAAGTACTTGGGCGGTTGTTCCACTGCATTCTGCATAAACGTTCATCAAACACCACATGTCAATGATCATAAACATGAAAATTTTCTCTCTCTCTCTGAGTTCTTAGAAAAAAAAAGACGTTTTATGTAGTACCCCAGATATGGGGAATCAGGTACGAACATGAACATATTCTGTTTAACAGTTGCAGCACGAATCTCGTGCCTTCTGCAAAAACTATTACATGTTGCCCGAAAATTTCCAGTGCTACATCTAAAAACATTATCTGTTTAGGAGAAAGACCCGGTACTGGTCTGCTAGACTGTGACCACACGCTACCACACTCTGTTTCTTATTCGTTGCACTTTGGATTTATTTAATGTTAAATCAAATCAACACAACTAATATCTTTTTCAATTCTCAATGTAAAATGTGTGACCGTCATTATAGTAAAAATATATACCAGATATCTACATTTTCCTAATCATATTCTGATTAATGAAGATTTGAGGTTTAGAATTTAAGGTTTATGGATAATACCTCTCGAGCGATGGCTGATCTGAAGGTAAAGATGTGAGCAAGTGCCGGAATTATATAGACAGTGAAGCTGACAAGGAGAGATCCCACGGTGGAATTTATCGGTCCGAAGAAAGGGAAGATGATAGCCAAGAACCAAATGGGGACAACTACTGGCAATCTTGCTGCCGCTCTTTTGCATAGGCTCTTGCACTCATGCATCCCAATTGCTTTCTCCCATACAAAATATAGTGGCGTGCATGCAAATCCAAATGTTATGAACTGCACAATAAGCACCACGATAAAGAAACATTGTTATGTACTATTTTGTTATGCATGCATGGAAGGATCTGACAATGAAATTTTTTCATAGGCATGCCTGGTGGATGAGCATTAAAATGACAGCCATGTCTCTGAAGGGAGTTCTTGGGAGAAGAGAAAAGGCATTTGAGTGATTGAGAAGCATGTCCCCAAATGCCCAATAAACAGCAGCAGCTGAAGGAAGTGTCAGTGTCAGCACATACAATGTTGCTATCAGGTATATAGCCTTGAACTTTTGAGGTTTCCACATAGCATGCATGATCTCCCTGTACATTAATTAGCAACATTTCATTAGTTAGCAAAATTAATCCATGTTAGTTCCATGAACTTCAATGCCACATTTGGTACACAAAGCTGGACCCCCCCCCCCAAATCTCTTGGCATCTTCTCAATGATAAAAGTGAAAGTAAAAGAAAAAAGATCAATGGCTTTCTACATGGAAAATGAATACTAGGGTTCCCGAGAACAAAACAACTTTTTGCCTCCCACGCTTACAAAGGGTAATTTTACTCCAAGGATTGGTCATTAGTTCTCCAATGGTGATCAGATCATTTCTAGAAAAGTTAAAGGTCTGGTCGTTTTCAGAGCTGTTTTTACATGCATTTATAATTGTCAAATAGTAAAGCATTTAATTATGCAATAAACATGGTCAGATTTGTACTTAAACGTAAGAGACGCGAATTCTAGACATAAATTTTTCTTCTTACACAGTGACAGCATGTCCCCCAAATGTATAGAGAATGTTGGTGGCACCTGTGAAATACAAAACCAGCTTGGTAGGACCAGAATGTTTAACTCCCTCGACCTACATTTAATGTCAAACAAAAATTCTTAATACACTAATACAATTATAATAATATGGATTGTGACAGGACAAGCATGATTCCTTTTTTACTGAAATTTCAACCCAGTATGTTCAACAAGTTTTGAGTGTTTTCTTTTACCTGGCCATGGAGGAGGGAGGCAATGGTGAGATACCAAGCAGAGTAGGTGGTCATTATAAGGCCTAGAAAAGACCAGATTCTGTAATTGTGAAATGAAGGGATGAAGACAGTGGTTGCACAACAAGCACCAAAGATGTAAGTCCATGTCCTCTTGTCCAGATTGTCATTTATGTAATATATGTTGCTGTAATAGCAAAAACAAAAGATACCCAGCATCAGGGAATTTATTGTCAGGGTGCATGCATGATGATGATTCCTCTCTCTCTCTCTCTCTCTATATATATATATATATAGACAATTTTATATTTGGATAGAGATAAAAGCAAAAGAATCAAAAATCACTAGCCAAGTAGGTACCTTGCACAAGCTATGAGCTGAATGACAGATCCAAACAGGAGAAAAGTGCAGTTAAATGCCAAACCCACGTTCCTCCAGTGTTTCCCAAGGAGCCCATCAAGAACCTCAAACCACTGCACAATTTAAAAAAGAAAAAACTACTGATTCTCAATGTCATTTCATCATACTCTTGAAAGTCGTTACTTAAAGAAGTTAAAAAAAAGGTAAACCTGAATGACATGGTTTCTGAAATCAACTTTCTCTCTTTCTCTTCTGGTTCTATATTCTACATAGAGTATGCTAATAAGATAAGCTGTCCAGCTACCCAACAATCCATAGAACAACTGAAAGAGAATCCCAGAAAGCATCCCCAGTTGAGAAAATGAGTATGGCAATGTAAGCAACACTTGAGCTACCTGAAAAACACACAAAAAAGATAATCCCAACAAAACCACAAGTTTTAATGTTTACAGTAACACTGTTTTATACATGTGGGGGGAGAAAATGGTAATGGCAGGAATGACCTGATTAGAAGCACAGCTAAACCAAGCATCATACACAGAACCGCCATGCCAGAAGAGATTAGAAACCTTGCTTTTGATGCCCTTTGGCTCCCCTTCGGTTTCCATCTCCACGTAATTCCCAACAATCACTGTCTCCACCTTATCACTGCCACTTGCCATTATCTCTTCTATTGTGTTTTTATTTCGCTAAAGACTATAGTTTTTTTCTTTTTCCTTCGTTGATAAACTGGCTAGTGCATTTTCAATGCAGGGAAAAGGGTGAGGGTGAAGGTGATGGAGAAAAATGTAGAGATATAGAGGGTATATATAAACATACATACAGTTCAAGGCATGAAGTGGGGAGGGCTTCTCGAAGGATGTGAATAAGAAAAGCTGTAGAGAGCGAGATTGCACTTTTTACACCTTAAAAATTAAAGCTTCTATTTTTCACTAGTTATATTAATAAATAGGGTAAAGTACACAAATGGTCCCTGACTATCGGATATTATTTCATTAAGTCTATCGATTATTAAAAGTTATAAAATGATTATCTGACTATAGGAGTTACTTTTGTTGAGTACCTTGACTATTAAAAAATTATAAAATGATCACTCATCTATTGATTATGTTTTAAACTCGTCCTTTTCAACGGTAGTTCAAGTTGTACGATAAACTGTTGATATGATAAAATCTGATCTCATAAACTCAAACGACTATCATATGATCGTATCTCACTTAACATGTTAACTTCCGGCTGAGATGGTTGTTAACTTTTTTACTAAAAAGGATGAGTTTGAAATATAATAAATAATCGAGTGATAATTTTATAACTTTTAACAGTAGAGATATTCAACAAAGCAACTCGTTATAATTAGAGGACCATAATAATCAACCGACTCGATAAAACAAAATCATGTAATGGGGATCATTTGGTACTTTACCCTAATAAATTATTGTGTATAAAATATTTTATACAATGTTTTTTAGACCTTAAATTATTGAATGTAATGTAAAAATATTTTCATCTAAATCATTAAACAAATAACTATTGAATTTAACATAAAACCAGTATTGTGTAGAATGAAATTTTAATTGTTACTATTTGAGTAATATGAGGTGATTATAAGATATGTTTATATTCTTTCTTAGTTGTTAACAATACACGTATTCTTCAAATGAAACTGTTCGAATTCAACACCTCTAGAAATAACAATACTCGCTTTAACCACATATATTGTTAGATAGATTCAAGTTATTGAATTATTAATATTTTTTAAAACATTGGTTAAAGGCATGCATTGATTTTTTTTAAAATTTTTTGATAAAACTATAAAATTTCACCGTTAATGTATTGATGATTCTTGCAAATTACTTGATTGTACTTGCTAGCAGACCCTATTAATTACATCAATTATGATGACTAAAACCACACTCCACAGTAATAACATTTTTAATATTGAATCAGAGATTAAATTAAAGAGGGCTGAAATTGTAGAATAACAAGGCACATAGGGGGGGGGGGCACAGGAGATTATTAGAAGGTAGACCGAATGATTGCACCCAAACGGGCGTGGTCGCTTTACAGTTTACATCAACATTGAAAGTTGCTTTTATCACATGCCCATTCACTCCCCATATTTCTGTGCACTTCGATTACTGCTGCTTATTTTTATGCTTAATTTCTTACTAAGATTATATAAATATGTTTATATGAGGTTTTAGGGATCCTATTTAGAGTTTAAGATCAAAATGGACCATAGCATGTGTATCAAATAACAATCTAATTGTATTAGTTTATACAAGCTTGTCTAGAAAAACCATTGAAAAACACCACCCCAAATCTAATAATAACAAATTACTATATATTAGCTGCAATGTGCACTAAGGACATGTAAATGGCAGCAAAACAGAGTTTTAGTGGCGCTTTTTTAGTTCTATAGCGGCATTTTTAAGCGCCGTTAAAAGCACTTGCAGCGAAAGGAAAAACGTCGCAGGAAGCGCCGCTAAAACCAGCGTCGCTAAAGTTAATTGCGTTTCTGAACCAAAAATGCCGCCATAAGTCAAGATCTATAGCGGCGTTTTTGGAACAAACGCCGCAAAAAATCGATATCTATAGCGGCTTTTTTGGAACAAATGCCACTAAAAATCATATCTATAGCAGCGTTTTTTGATACAAACGCCGCTAATTATCTTTCTTTAGCTAAGATGATTATGCTCTATATCACCTAAATTTATTATCATATAGCTTTATCTAATTAACAACCATACATTTTAATAAAGACAAGTTATGTAAAAAAATACTAACAACAAAATAATTTAAAATTTATAAACATTAAAATTAAATATAATGTAGTTTGACATTGTTCTTCATTGCAATAATCCAATAAGAAATTTTTAACAAAGGCCAAGGAAATTAAAAAATGACACTCCACTTCCAACCATACCCAGAATTACATGTAGATTGAGACCTTCTTTACCAAAGAAAATGAAACCTAAAATCAGGACGAGAATAGTCTTCATATGGCCAAGCACTTGGAACGATACGGCCGTAAACCTGCCGATGCAGATAAACTGGCTGAGGTTGGTCGTCCCCACGGTAATGGTGCAAGACAGGATTATGAAAAACTGCAAGAAGAGAGTATCACATATTATTTACAGCAGTCATAATTACCTGCATGCAAAATATATTAATAATCCATATGTCAACTTGCACTAGCACATGAACTTAAGAATGTAGAGTTCATGTTCATGGTTCTCCAGTTACAAAAACAATACAGGACAATATTAAAAGTAAGTATGATGGTTAAATCTTCCATGTTTTCTTAATCATTAATCCTAGTTTTATGACCAAATGCAAGGATGGAAGTGAGTTCTCAGTACGCTCGATACAGACGAAGTATTTCTGATAAAATACCAATACAACTTAAGTTAAAATGATGTATCATAACCAACTATATTCTAGTAAACTCTGATAAGAACCGTACCATAGATATGGCAGTGTAGTTATAGGCATAAACCTTTTTCTCTGTTAACCAGTAGTCCACAAAAGGACCAAAAAGCAACATGATTGCAGCTTGTACCGGAGCAGTATGTCCCAATAAATCAAAAGATCCTGAAGAATGCTTGCATTGAAGATAATGTACATACCGCAAAATGATAAATAAAATTAAAAAACAAAAAAGGAGCCAAAATATCAATCCAAGTACAAGATCAAGGAATGGTCGGTGCTTCATTTATGGAATGGATTAGTCCATGACAAATACTTAGAGAACCTTGTTCAATCATAACATTAGTTGAAATTACTATATGAAATCTTACAACTTAATTGTAGCTGCGGCACAGTAACAAATGGGACACAAAATCAAAGTATTTCTTAGGTGAATATTGTTAACTTTTGACTTGCACCATCAGAACTAACATAGTCATAACAAATCATATTATACTCCTCTACATAAATTCTATCTCTAACATTATTTTATTGTTTATAAGAGTTACTAGGCATTTGAAAAAGTTAGGTTTGCTTCAATTGGAAAGAATTTTTAATTTTTCATCTCAACTTTAAATAAGATCTATGAGAAAAAATGAAAACAAGTAAAACTCTAGAACCCTTAGTTTTTTGGGTTTTGGGGGAAATTAAGAAAAGACAATCTTAAATAGCTATCCTACCTAGTTATCTCCTTAAAGATATAAAGTAAAAAAAAAAGGAAAATGAGCATTGTTTAACAAAACTAACAGGCGTAAATCTGTTTGCATCCAAGAAAAAAACCAAGGTGTAGGAGGAAGCTTTGTTCTAGTTTATGGGAGCGATCTTAGGAGAAGGATTGTTCCTAAAGTTTGAGATAGTCAGCAATTAGTCTTGCTACCCTGTTTTTCTCCTTTAGGTTGATCATATGGAGTTGGACCATAGAACAAGAAGGCTACATAGAAACATAATGAGCATAGAAGTAATTGATCCATTAGATACCAAATCTATATGCAAGCGCAATGAACAAGACTATGTGCAAAAGCAAAGTTAATCAATGTTTGCATGTAAATGCTCACTCAAAACATACCAAAACTGAAGCCATAGGTAGCCATCAAGGCTTTATTGACCATTATTATACCCACAGATGTGACAACGTTGAAAAACCAGGAGGCCATATCTAGAGCTGCTTTCCTATCAACCTTGCTTACTGACGACATTTTTACCAATTTAACTAGCAGAGTCTTTGTTTCTCAATTTTCATGCAGGCAAAAGTTAGGTTCAGATCTCGAAAATCCAGCAGGTGGTACCTGTATCAACAAATTGTTTGGAAAGCAAATATCACTTTAACATGCATAGTTTATAATTTGTACAAAGAAATGTTAAAGAGAGAACACAAACAATCATCCAATTCTAACAAAAACAATGAAGAGTGTTTCTTGCTCAGAAATAAAACGAGCAAACTAAAAAATAGACTGCAATTACAATGCATGTGTTTCCAAAACAATTACAGGGAAGTAAAAGTTTTAGAGGAAGGAATCTCTTCCAACTCTTGAGAGCCGCTTGGAAACCATCATTGGAACAATTATGAACTTCAAAATTCAAATTTATACTTAAAGAATGATGCTTACGTGGAGATTCGGTTTCATACAACTAGACATTTCATCAAACACAAGAATTCTCTTTATCTCAAGCGCCTCGGGTAAAATATGCTTCAATTGAGCCAAGTGACTTTATAAAAACCTCTTATAAAACCACATCAAACCCAAAAAAATAAAATACTCAATATAAAACAAACCAAACAGAACTTAATAAATCTATTAACCAGCATTAACTGAGATGATTAAGGTGAAATTACCTATAAGTTAAACACTATTTTGGGGCTGATATTTGTAAAAGTAGGCATTAACCCCTTCGATCTTAGCATCCAGATTGCAGAATCTAAGCTATTGTAAAACTCACACAATATCTCGTACATTTTCCAAAAACCTTTAATCAATAACATTATTAAATAAAGAAACCAGGGTGAGGGTCTTAAGCGGGCCTACTTTTCAGGGAGTTTATCGGGACGGCCATCGGAGGCCTTGGGTGGAGGATATTCGGTGGGCCAGGATAAGATCTGCTTTCGGGCCGACTTGATCTGGACTGTAGAAGCTTTGGATCGAGTCTGAGCCACTTTCCGGACCTCTTTAATGGAGATGGCAGGGTTACGAGCACGGTTGGGGAGCCGGGAGGAGTGCTTTTCTGGGGTTTTGGAAACCGACGATTTCGAGGTTAGGCTCCGAGAAGCCTTGGATTTCAAAGCGGTTGCT